TGCACTAGTAGAATTGGTGGTTTCCCAAAATTAGGGGTACCTTTTTGGGGGGTCCCAATAATAAGGACTATAGCATTTTGGGGTCTATATTGGGGTCCCCCTATTTTGGGAAACTACCATAACCCTAAACCCTAAACCCTACTAGTAGAATTCAGAATCATGGTAGAATGCTGCAGCAGGTGCTCCTCACTGAGGCCCCGGCCCCCAGGAACGGGAACAGGAATGCCTGGACAGCAAGTTGTGATGATGCCCAGGCCCTAAACCTAAACCCTGAGCCCGAACATAATATTGAAAACTCAAGAATTAGAACTCATGCCGAAGCCCTGAAACTCCAAACTCCGCTGCCTGAACGGCAAATTGGGGTGATCCAGTCAGTACGCGAAGAAGGTCAAGCTCCGCCAAGTCATTGATGACCTGCGGAATTGCTTCAGGTCATGGATCCTTGCGTATGGTCCAAACAGCACTTTGGGCCTGGCAGAGTGTATGATAGTAGGATGAGGATATTATGGGAGAGGCTTCTTCAGATGCTGCACATCATGCAGTGTCCTTGCGCCATCTTTAGTTGAGGGTATCAAGTTGGTGGGTTTGGCGCTGACGTAGCCAGCATGATAGTCTCTAGCGACTCATCGACAAACCGCTGGCACTGATTCTGCTGTCCCTTTGTACATCCTCAGGGCTGAGAAGCGCAGGTATCACTTGAGAATGCACGCAATGATGGTAAGCTGAGGATCAGACGTAGTAGCGGGTGTATTCGAGAGCGACAAAAGCCACCCAGCATCCACCCATCACTCTGAGCACCAAGCTGATCAACACAAGTCGGTAACACCATTTTGGGGTCATACCTGTGTATTCGACGAAGCGTGCCGCATGAGTTTCGGCCTTGGCTGAGGATTGAGGGTCCGGGGCATAGGGGTTAGGGTTGATTAGGGTGGCCTAGGAATTAGCACTTGAACCACTTCCCTTCCTTATCCGCATACAACCGTCACACCCTTGATGATTACTATAATCCGTACAAGCTAGTTTACAATCCCGGAATCCTCCCTAAACCCCAAGCGCGAGAAGACTTGCATGACAGGAGACATCCCGGCATGCATCCTTTTCTGGAACCTCGGGTGTCGGTCGGAATCTGTCAGAAGATCAAGTCTTTAAAGCTTCATATCTACAGGAATCATATGACCCTTTTTGCGGGGTAGATTAGATGACAAGGCCCGTAATTTACCAGCCTACCATACGGCACTGCTTGGGGATGATTGCTTCAGTTTTGTAATCATGGTTTTTCAAATTGGCTAAATTGAGCCGATGGAGATAGAGGTATCGCGAGTGGATTGGGATGATGGGCGACTTTGAAAAACTCCAATAGTACCATGCGATCACCATTAATGCTTCAAGTCCTGCAACTTAAGCAACTACAGTCTTGTTCATGGTGCGATCTTCAGAAGTAAGCACTATAATTCTATTCTTGCCGTTGCAGCACGGATTGCTGCTCTTGCCACTGTGAGCAACCCGTGGAACCCGCAAAATGTCTCCATCTCTAAAGGGTGCTGCACGGCGTCGCGTGGTAGTTTGGGGGAGGATAGGGGAGCCGAGAATCCGATTGGTTGGAGAGACTCAAACTCTGCAAGCCCCTTTTTGCGGCTGTCCCTAAACTGAAGAGCTAGGTTGGTCCCTAAAACCAATTGAAAAATATTAGTACATATGGTCCCCTATTAAGGCCATTAAGGAAAATATTAAATATCCCAGAAACCTACCCAGAGAGAAGGGGAACCGATGTTCTGAAGCGTAGCCCCTACTTTCCTTTGAAGATTGGGCCAGCTCAAACACTTTTGAAGACCATAAGTTGGGTCATTCCCCCACCCAGTAACTGTCCTTAAAGGGGGCCTCATTAAGGGGCGATTATAATTCCTATTACCCCTTGTGGTAACAGTTACTGGGAGGGGGAATGACCCAAACCATAAGACCTTGCTGCAGCAGCCCCCTACAAAAATCATACGAACCCCTTATGACCGCGTATGGGCATGTCCCAACTTATTGCCCGAAATACCATAACCTTCAAACATGGACTCTCACAAAGACCCTTGATTTTTGGAATTCTATGATACTTCCCTATACGTCCCCTATAAATGCCTTTGAAAAGGGACCCGGAAGTTTTGGAAACCCTCACTAACCTTATATGTAACCCTTATAACCCCAGTTAAGGGACCCCCAAGCTCCAACGAATCAACCTCCTACCACAACCCAGCAACCGGTGCTGCTTTTGCACAGTCGTCATCCAACCTCAGGATTTGGGATTTAGGAGTAAGGGCTGGGGTTGAGGAGTTAAGTAGAAATCCCAACAGGAGTGCACTCCCCACGCGTCTAGAATCAGTCTAGAAGGCTTTGATTTATCATTACACTCGAGCTAAACAAGCATGGAACCTGAAAGGACCACTGTCCGTTTGAAGGGTCAAGGAAGGTTCCATGTCAGCTTTTCGGAGAGTGCCTACTAGTAGCACTGCCAGTAGCACAAATGCAGTACAGTGTAATCGTCGGCGGTCGTTGTCGTCAGCGGCGGCGGTCATTGTGGTCCCCACCACCACCACCACCGCCACCGCCACCGCCACCGCCACCGCCACCGCCACCGCCACCGCCACCGCCACCGCCAACACCGCCACCACCGCCAACACCGCCGCCGCGCCGCCAGCCACTGACCGAAGCAAACATCACAGTAACAGTGACCATGGTGACTGTTCGTGTCGCAGCACGCAGAACAGATCAACTTCAGTACCACTGAGAGCAGAGAACTCAGTAGTGAATCTTCGGCCAGTTGACCTTGCCCCAGTTGGAGAACCCAGCCTCACCTAATCCAACCTGGAACTGCATATGGTCCGCTTTCAAAAGGACACCCCTTTTCATGTTCTATGCTAGTTCTGGGGGGTGTCTATCGCGCATGTCTCACTCAGGATCTGAACTCGGAATACGTGCCAAACGATGTTTCACAGAAAAGGTTCCTAATTACCCTTGACTTGGTGTGAACCATTCCAGAAGCCGACAGCAGTGTGAGCCAGATGAAGTAACCGGAAATATGGAGAGTTTCCGAATTTCTTTGCAGAAGGTGGGGAGCCTCACATCCAAACAACATGAGCAGGTCATCTGAAAGGGCGCCTCTAGGCTTGTGATAGCAACCCACTGCACAAAAAGCGGTTGCTAAAACCCGGGTGGCAAGAGCTACCTGCCATACGGAGGAAGCCCGCTAAACAAAACCACCCCAAAATGGGCCTCCTCAATTGAAAGCGTCAACGTCGCAGTAGTCAAGCGGCTTAGTTGGCGTTGACTCACCACGACGGTCCGGCGCAGCTTCAGAAATGCCGGCCTCGTCTCTTGGAAGCCAGGGAACATCAGCCGGAAAGTGCCCTTTAAGGATGGTGGTCTCCACACGCGGCTTTAGAGGGTTTCATGTTTGGGGCGTGTAGGGAGGCCCCGATAATGACACTACCGTGGATCAAGGACATCTTGCACCACACTATATTCCTTATACACCATCAGTTGCAGTACAAGATGAAAAGTAGAAAGAACAAGGGCGGGAGAACTGCTTGCACCTGGTGACAGACCGAAATTGCAGTCTGCTGTATGGGCCTTTTCCAAAAAATTTCGCCCTTCTTGGGGAATCCCGTTAACAATCATAAGAACATGTTGAGGTCTACATTAAGAACCTCTAGTTATGGCAACCCCTATATGCTCCATAGACAGCTCTCTGTTGGATCTTGCGCGCAATAGATTCATGCACCTGCATGTTTACATCCTCCCAAGTTTGGGGTGCCGGTAGGAAAGCATATTTTGGAATCGTCACACCTTTCACTAGTACGGAAGACACTTATCCAGGTCAGTGACATCAAAGCTCGTTCAAATAAAAAACAAGCTAAGTAAATGTCCGCACTCCAGAGGGTAAAGAGACCGCTCACATAGTAACCCCGCACAAAGGTGTGCGCTTCATGAAACGTGCGGCCGCCGAACCGCAGCAACCTAGGCTGCACCACGAACCCCAACCAGTATACCTAGATTAAGGTTGCGTGTAGTTCAGCCCCGAAGTACAAGTACCGGCACATACAGTAACAGCGTCTAAAGTTATGAGGAATAATCATCTCCATGATCCAGCCCACCCCGCCGCGTTGCATGAACCAACAAGTCTCTCTCACAGTCATCATGCTTCTGCACGCAACCCCATGAAGGTGCCATTCATGTTCATTGTCCCATCGAAAAGAGGTGTCT